CAGTTTGTAAGTACATGGGACCTCAGTCCTGAAAATCCAAGAAACTAAATTCTGCCAACAACCAGTCAACTTGCAAGAGAACCTGAGTCTCAACTCACATTGCAACCCCAGCTGACATCTCAATTTCAACATTGTAAAATTCTGAGCAGAGAACTCAGTTATGTTATGTCCAGATTTCTCATGTGCAGAAATTGTGAGACAGTAAATTTATGTTGTCTTAAACTGAAGAATGTATGGCAATTTATTACACAGCAATAGAAAGCTAATAGACTATGAAATATTTTTTTCCCATAAGTGAATCTTTCAATAAGATAGCCAAGATTTGAGAATTTGTAGTTATACAGATAAAGATTGACAAGTAATTATTCAGTTTGCACAGGCCTCTTTGCTTTATTTTAGGTTTAATTTTAGGACTTCTATAGCATATTTTCAATTTTTTTTATTGATTTCCCAAAGAGTACATAATCACAAATCCTTTGGGTACTTACTATGTACCAAGCACAGTTGTAAGTCCTTCATGTGTATTTACTCACTAGCCCTCCATATCACCCTGGCTTCCCAGGTGGCTCAGTGGTTTAAAAAAGAAAAGAAAAGCAAACCCTGCCTGCCAATGCAGGAGATGTAAGAGACCAGGGTTCAATCCCTGGATCAAGAAGATCCCCTAGAGGAGGAAATGGCACCCCATTCCAGTATTCTTGCCTGGACAATCCCATGGACAGAGGAGACTGGCAGGCTACAGTTCCATGGGGTTGCAAAGAGTCAGACACAATGGAGGTATGAACACATACCTAAGCCTCCACACCATCCTAGGATGCGGGTCCCATGTAATCTCATCTCATAGACAGGGGACATGAGGTACAGAGGGTGAAGCCGTGCCCTTATGTCAAATGTGTACAGAGAGGCAGAGCTAGGACTCAAATTCAGACAGTCTGAGCCCAGAGTCCAAGCTCTCTTACTCTTAACCACCATGTCTTACTATTGTTTTTGTAAGCTCCTCTAGAAAATATGGAATATTCAGAAAGCACTGAAAAGAAATTACAAATCATTTGTAACCTCATTACTCACAGATAACTACACAACCACAGTTAGCATTTTGCTGTTCATCCTATCTGGGACAACAGCTTATAAACAAAGAGGTGGGTACATTATAACTTCCGGGGGATTTCACTCCACTTAATGTTTTGTGACTTTTTTTTCCCCTCTTTCTCATAATATATTTAAACTATGATCTAGTTTACTGCCTCTCCCTTTCCTTCCAAAAAAGAATTTATTCACTTTCATCTTGAGGAAAAGCATACTCTCCACTTGGATTTTTCAATTTTGCGCACTTTGGGATCTTTCCCCAGAATTGTGCACCTCTCTCTAGAGTGTCTTTATGGGTCTTCTCTGCAGGGGTATGACCCCAGAACAAGCCAGAAAAACAAAAGGCAAATGTAAGCTTAGTGAAAATTGAGGTGATCAGAAATCTACCATCTGCACCACGGTTAGGGTTAAATTCGATGATATCTAAAAATAAAAGTAGAGGATTTAGGAAAGGGGCAGTGGGAAAGTGAGGGACAAAGGGTTGCATGAAGCTGCAGCTGGGAACTAGAGGGCGTATGGCTACACCTCGAGCATCAGCAGGGCCTGTGAGTGCGGAGGTGAGCAGGTATCAGCAGGGAGTGACTGTGGACTGCCAATACCAGCCAAAGAGCTGCACCAGCCATGACACTTCCATGCGGGAGCTCTGCGGGCCGCGGACTGTAAGTATCAGGGTGACAATCTCCCCAAGAACTGAGAGCAACCCTCAGAGGGGGGAGAAGGAAAAGAGCTCTGAATTATCCAGAGAGACTGAATCTAAACCCACGAGTAGAAAGATGAAATGTTTTCTGTCCTTAGCAGTGACTGTGGTGATTTATGAATAAGTGTTCAGATATAGAAAAATAGAGAAAATAAAATTTCTGTCCATGTAAATTGTGATCATAGATTTTCAACCTTCTCTGCTGGCTCTGTCTAAGTCTTTCCTATTTTTGTCTGTGACATTGTTACTTTACCATTCCCACTGGCTGAAAGCTTAGTATCACTTCCTCTTTATCATTCAAACATAAAGTCATCTCTGACCATTGTATGTGTGATGTGGGGGTTGGGAGAAGAAGTTTTAACTTACTTGAAGGCATTTTATATATTTAACCAAACATGAATGATGGAAAATAAGGTGTTTTTTTTAACTCTTTAAAAAGCTTCCTGAGCACCAAATAGGGCTTAAATAAAAACAAAAACAACCTCAAAAGTCAATGAATACATTTAAATGTCAATAACTTTGAAACATAAGGATTATTTTGCCCCTAAATCACCCATGTAAAGAAAATAATGTTTTGCAAAAATGAACATGATTTATTACTAATTTCATAACATTTGAAAAGCAGCAGAAGGAGGCACTGCCCGTTCCAGAATAGTAGAATCAGAGTTTGCTCGTCAAATGAAATGTATAGTTCAGTGCAAAGAAATGATGGTAAAACTTGGGAAAGAGGCCATTAGGGTTTTGCATGGCTTAGTTCTGATTTTGGAACATGTTCAAGGCCATGCCCTCCAGATCCGCTGGTTGGTTCCCACTGCAAAGGCTCGTCCTGGCATAGGCGCTGTGGTTGTTTGTTTATGATGGGGATGTTGGCTCAGTCACTCAGTAACTTCTACCGTGGCTCCTTGTGGAGCATCTCTCCAGTCATGACAGTCCCCACTTCCGTGAGCACTGCCACCTCCCTCCACGAAACTGGCAGCCACATCTGCACTGTGAGCTCTCTTCACTCCCACCTGCCTCTTATTCACTGATCTAAAGACTTAGCCCAGACTCTCTCTTCTAGGAAGTTAGATTGACAGCCAGAAGGAGAGTCCCTCTCTGTGTGGGTTGACCTCTTAAGTGCAAACTCTGGATTATGGGAATCAGTGAGTTGGAAGGCATGTAGTCTTGCTTTTTCATCTGAAAGTTGTTGGGATTAACAGAAGTCCAACCGGCAATTCCTCCTTTACTCCCACCCTCTGCAAGAGGCTCTCCCTCTTAGCACCAGCTGAAAGTAGAGTGGGCTTACTTTGCTGCTTCCTAAGACACGTCACATTTGGCCAGCGACTAAGGGCCTCCCCAGGCCCCCTTTCCGGAGATATCTCCTACCGCCACAACTGCTGAAGGCGCACACTTGACCCACAAAATTGTGGTATGACAAGATGGTTATTTTAAAATTTGTTTTGCAGTAATATATAATCAAAACAACCACATCCTAGGATTCCCTCAACACTTCTTGCTGACTCTCTATGTCTCATTGGGAATGGGGCAGGAAAGGAAATCAATATATTATGTCTACTTTATGGAAGTGGAAGACCAAGTATCTCAGTTCAACTATCCTAGAAGTAAAACTGATTTCACTTAAGCCTTTCTCAAGAGCATTTCTGTTTTATAAGCTTTAGGTATTCGTTTTGAGAAAATAGAAAGTGGTAAATAATTATTGGATGGAACCAAATATTGAGTGGGGACAACCTCCTAGGCATGTTTCCAACGGGGCCACAGATCTCTGCTTCCAGGCCTGTGGAGAATAGATTCTCATGAAATCTGGGTCTTAAGGTTTTAATTTAAAAGAAGACTTTGAAACCAGGGATGTGTTCTTTACCATGTATAATGACTGGAAATCATGATTTTTTTTTTTTCAGGAAATAGGACTAAATCAGATATTTTCTCTACAGTCTCCAGAAATAATTCATGTGTCATACTCTGTATCCAAACTTTTCATTTGTAAGAGATGGCCACTATACTTAGGCCTCGAGTTCTTTTCCTGGCTTCTTAAACCAGGATTTTATTTTGGGATCTGCTCATTGAATAATTGCTGCTCTGACTTTGGCTCCATGGACTGACCCTGTGAAAGCCTGATGGGAATCTCTAGGTATGATAGGAATATCAAAGGTCTTACCCTACTTTTAGTCCTCTCCAAAACAACAACAACAAACAAACAAAAACACCAAACAACAACTTGGAAATAAAATACTTCAATAAAAGTTAAGCAAAAGAGCCTTATCTCAGCCAGTGTTCAATGTTTTCAGGCGACTGTCTGTTTATTGCCAACTCTGGGCTCACTGACGGAAAGAACAAAACTAAGATCGCTGAATCCTTACTGTGTGAAAACACCATAAATTTACATGTATGATCTCAATTCTCACCGCATCCCCATGAAGTGGGTATTATGTGCCTCATTTCATTGGTAACACAGAGGCATGGAAGTGTTAAGTAAGTTGCTCAAGCTTTCAGATTGTATAGGATGGAGCAGAGGAGAGGGGGGTGGCAGCAGTTCAAAGGTTAAAGTCTGCCTTCTTTCTGATGTGTAATGCTGCCTGTTGTCCTGAAAGTTGAGAATTTCAGACTCTTATAGTTGCCATCCAGGGGGAAAAGATTTCAATCACCAATGAGGTGGAACACTTTTAATTCAAGCTAGCAACTATATAGCACACTTCTATACACACATATTTGCATACAGAGTGAATGCTTACTTTAAGACTCAAAATTTTTATCTGCTAGTGAGGTTATTGATACGTTAACTGGACTCTTTTGGCCATGGATGTCATTAAATAGGTGGTTTTCTGTGAAAGCCAGGAATTTGACCCCATGATGTTCACATTAAAAATACACAGAATAGGACTTCCCTGGTGGTTCAGAATCCACCTGTTAATGCAGGGGACATGGATTTGATACCTGGTCCGGGAAGATCCCACATGTCTTGTGGCAACTAAGCAAGCACTCCACAACTACTGAACCTGAGGAGCCCATGCTCGGCAGCAAGGGCATCCACCGCAATGAGAAGCCAGAACACCTCAACTACAGAGCAGCCTCCACTAACCGCAATTAGAGTCTGAGCACAGCAATGAAGACCCAGTGCAGCCGAAGATAAATCAATAAATTTACATATTAAAAAAGAAGTAAATAAGAAGTAAAAACAGTTGAGCTTGTTTGTTTTTTTAAAATGCACAGAATAATTACTTACCTATGCAGTAATGGCTATTGGAGTGTCTGCTGTCAGGCCAGTTGTCATAGCCCGAAGAGACCAAGGTGTGAAGGGTCAGGAGAAGAAACAGAGGAGCAGTCGTAAGGATTTTCTGAGGAGACCTCATCTTGGAGCTGTTATATCAGGAGACTTCAGGCTGGCAATAGAAGCTGCAGGCTGAAGGATGCTGAAATTGAGGCCCAAGAGCTGATTAGTCTCTCTCCATTTCTCTTCTGTCCTCTAACACACACACCCCACAGTGACATGCACACTTTTCACTACGCAGAACCCAGAGAGGGAGCCGCACGGCTCGGGTCTGGGAAGGGCTGGAGGAGCCCCGGGTGCACAAATCTTCTAAGCGATAAACTGAAGGAAAAACTGCCGCAGGTTGCAGCTGAGGCAGCCAAGATTGTTTTTGCACTTGCTGGCTGAAGTCAGTGGCGGTGAACTCCAGGAACCTTGAAGCCTCCCGGAATCATCCTGCGGCCTGGTTAGGCAGCTCTTCCTCTTTCTTTCTTGCAAAACAAAACTAAACTAAAAGTAAAACCGAAGAAGAAAACCTCAACCACAAACACACAGCACTTTAGCAATTTGATAGCAGTGTTCAGACTGTAGAAATTACCATCTGTTATACTCAGAAGTTATATAGTTTTGCTCTAAACTGTTTTGTATAGTGAGACTGGGCTCCTTCTTTGGTGGTTAAAGAATGTTCTGGTCAAGTAGTTGTTTTCCTTTGGAGATGTTGGATTATTCCCTCAAGGGTCAAGTTTTCCCAGGGCCTTTCATTGGTGTTCAGAAAACTATCAATGAGATAGTCATGGGGCACTTGGCACTGGTGGATTTTCAATCTAGTAAGAAAAAAAATGAACTGAAATTAATCAATTCATTTTTACTTGGCTGTGTATGATACATCTCTTTTGTTTTTTTTCTTTTTCATTTATTTTTATTATTTGGAGGCTAATTACTTTACAGTATTGTAGTGGTTTTTGCCATACATTGACATGAATCAGCCATGGATTTACATGGATACATCTCTTTTCTGAAGAATTTCAAAGTATATTCAGATCCCTCACCTGAGAATGATTCATTCATTTTTTTTTCATTTATTTTTATTAGTTGGAGGCTAATTACTTTACAAGATTGTAGCGGTTTTTGTCATACATCGACATGAATCAGCCATGGATTTACATGTATTCCCCATCCTGATCCCCCCTCCCACCTCCCTCTCTACCTGATCCCTCTGGGTCTTCCCAGTGCACCAGTCCCGAGCACTTGTCTCATGCATCCAACCTGGGATGGTGATCTGTTTCACCCTAGATAATATACATGTTTCGATGCTGTTCTCTAGAAACATCCCACCCTCACCTTCTCCCACAGAGTTTCATTCATTTTTGAGAGGCTGATTTTCTACTTTGAAGATGAGAACTGAGTGCTATTTTTCCAAGGAAAAAAAAAAACTAACTGAAAACTCAACCAGACTGTAGACAAAGACATATAATCTAAATGCTGTGTTCTAAAATAGGCTAGAGCAAAGTCACAAGCCGTTTCTTATCCAGTAAGATAAGAGAACTGGGGCAAATGGCCACAATCTAGATGGGCCTAGGGATTAAGCAATTAACAGTCTCCCTGTTTAGGCTCTGAAGACAGCTTGTTATAAACTTTATAAATATTATAAAAGCTATCAAGGGACTTCCCTGGTGGTCCAGTGGCTGAGATGCTACGATCCCAATACAGGGGTCCAAGGTTCTATCCCTGGCCAGGGAACTAGATCCCATATGCTGCAACTAAGAGTTCCCATGCCACTAAAGATTCTGCATGCAGTGACTAAGACTGGGAGCAGCCAAATACATAAAAATATTAGAAATTATTTTAATTGTTTTAAATATTTAATTAAATATACAGTTTCTAGTAACATTTACTAGAAACCAAAATTGGTAGAGATTTTCTCTCCTCCTCCTCCCCCTGCTTTTACTTAAGGAGTAACATTTTAAATAGCAGGTAGAATTTTAGAGTTGTATTCTTTCTAGGATGTAGGAGATACCAATTTTTATGGTTTGAAGATTCTTTGTGTAACTATCAGTTTAACAAATGCCAATTTGTCAAATCTCTGAATCTGTGGCAAACACCAGAGTGTTTCCCTCCTTAAGTCCCCAGCACTGGCTGGGTCAATGACTACCAAAAATGTTCTTGTTCAACATGGGCCCTTGACTTCCTTTGAGGCTGATCTGCTGGTTTGCAAGGTCTCTGACCCTATGGCCAAGGGAAGCTCTAGAGGTCACCAGGACCACCAGAGAGGTCAGGACCTAGGGAAGTTCTAGAGAATTCCTAAGGAGACAGAATAATAGACTTATTACTAGTACTGCCTGCAAAGACAAAAAGACACTTGTTCAGCTATCCTGTCTGATGTTCACTTCCAGGTCAAGTATTAGACCAGTGGTGGAACCTTTCTAAACTTTGGTTTCCTCATTTATGTTGGGATAATAATAATATTTCTCAGGATTCCAGGAAGGACTAAAATAGACAATGGATTCACACTATAAAGCAGTGTGCCCTGCAAGAAGTGTTTGGTAAGACAAAGCTTTGGTTACTGCTATCCCAGCAGGAGTATGATGAAATCTGCACCCAAGGCCAGATTTCAAGAGAATTATTGTAAGACATTCACAGTAGTTGCAGGCCAAGATATAGGAAAATGATACTGCCTGCATTTATTAAAGGCTGCACTTACTGAACACCATCTGTGTGCAGGACAGCCCTCCAGGAACACAGAGGGTAGTTTGCAAACAATAGGTGAGTGAGAAATCTTTGCATGGGTTCAGCAAGAGCCACTGGCGCAGGCTCTGGGCCTGCTTGGGCTTACCTGGTGCTTCAGCAGTAAAGAAGCTGCCTACGATGCAGTAGACGCAGGTTTGATCCCTGGGTTGGGAAGATCCCCTGGATGAGGAAGTGGCAACCAGTTCCAGTATTCTTGCCTGCAAAATCCCACGGACAGAGGAGCCTGGAGTGCCACAGTCCATGGGGTTGCAAAGAGTTGGATACTACTTAGTGACTAAACAACAACAAACTGGGCCTCCCGAGAGTCTCCCAGTCCAGGTACATAGCTGTGAGCCAGACCGGGCCACCTCAGGGTGAGGGAAATTTCTCAGTGTTAAGACAGTGCACAAGTTTCAGACCCATGGTCATGTGTGCACTAATTCAGGTAGTTTCACCCACAAGCACTCCTGGAATTGTGGTCCTAAGGCAGACTGGATGCTTAGGCTTCAGTCAGGGCGGGCTGGACTGGGAATCCTGGGCTTAGCTGTGCAGTGTTGAGACAGTCCTTTGCCATTTTCAGGGCTGAAATTCCTCAACTGCAGGGGAATGTCACCGTATAGTGGGTTTTCCCTAAACAGAGGTAATTTTCATGCTTGAAGGGTGAATTCTTAGTTGGCAGGGTCAAAAGAGGAACACAGAAATCAGGAAATGACTTGCTAACTGATACTGAAGGGAGTGCATGTGCCCACACACCGCTAAACAAACCCTCCTAGTCCAGGTACATAGCTGTGAGCCAGACCGGGCCACCTCAGGGTGAGGGAAATTTCTCAGTGTTAAGACAGTGCACAAGTTTCAGACCCATGGTCATGTGTGCACTAATTCAGGTAGTTTCATCCACAAGCACTCCTGGAATTGTGGTCCTAAGGCAGACTGGATGCTTAGGCTTCAGTCAGGGCGGGCTGGACTGGGAATCCTGGGCTTAGCTGTGCAGTGTTGAGACAGTCCTTTGCCATTTTCAGGGCTGAAATTCCTCAACTGCAGGGGAATGTCACCGTATAGTGGGTTTTCCCTAAACAGAGGTCATTTTCATGCTTGAAGGGTGAATTCTTAGTTGGCAGGGTCAAAAGAGGAACACAGAAATCAGGAAATGACTTGCTAACTGATACTGAAGGGAGTGCATGTGCCCACACACCGCTAAACAAACCCTCCCTCCAGCTGCCCAGGTGGAGGTGGAGGTGTGGGTGGAGGCGTGGGCTCTACCACTCGCGCTGGCTCTCTCAGACTGCCTGGTCTCATCTATCCTGACCATCTCACTGAGCACTGAGCGCATATGGCCTAGAATCTCTGTACAACTTGCTGAAAAGCCCTGGACCTATGGTGTGGTTTCTCACAATAGAACTCTTGTTGGACCCTGTATAATGTCCCCTGAGGACCCCATGCTGTCAGAGGCTCCAATTCTGATTTTCTCAAAATCTGTTTTTAGAAAATGAGATTTCTTCCTTGAAGCACTTTGTTACTTACTTCACTAGGAGAGTTTGGATTCGAATCACAGTCTGTCCTGCTGCAGAAGGTTGAGGGTTTATAAATTGTTGAATGTAACATCGGTGGTTTGTTTGGCTTGTTCTGTCTGAATATGCTTCCTGATTAGTTTTTGAACTGAACTGGCCTCAATCACCTCATTCATAGCAAGTTCCTTAATCAGAAAAAAAAAAAAAAAAAAAAAGCCCCAAACAAAACTGACCTGGGTGACAGGAGATACTGTAAAATCTGGTGCTCTCTCAAAAACACCTCTTTTTTTTTACTTTCTCCTCTTTTCGACACCAGGGATCCGTCTCCTTGCTTCTGGCTTCCCAGAATTCTCTGTGGTGACCCTCTGTTCAAACCAAGCCCAGATCCTTTGCTGGCCCCTCCTCCGCAATCGGAGTTTATTTATTCCACCTTCATTCAGTCTCTTCTGTTCCCTGCTATGGAAATCCTAAATTAATCCACGACAAGGGTGCATGTTGGCTGATTAAAAGCAGTCTAGGGGGGTTTCCCTGGTGACTCAGTGGTAAAGAATCCACCCACCAATGCGGGAAGCACTCCTGATCCAGAATGATCCCTCATGTGCAGAGAAGCGAAGCCCGTGTGCTACAATGATTGAGCCTGTGTTCAAGAGCCCAGGAGTTGCAACTACTGAAGTCCGCATGCCCTAGAGCCTGTGCTCCGCAACAAGAAGAGCCACAGCAATGAGAAGCACTGCAGCTAGACGGTAGTCTCCACTCACTGCACCGAGAGAAAACCCGCACAGCAATGAAGACCCAGCACAGCCAAAAATAAATAAATAAATTTAAAAAATTGTTTTAAAAAAGCATTCTGGGCTTAGGATCAGGTGAGTTTTCATCTTCATCATGGTTTTAGCACTTACTGTATGTTCTTGGGCAAGCTGATCCACCTCTCTGAGTATCAGCTTATTTAACTATAGAATGGGTTATATGATGCCAAATATTATAGGAAAATTATGAGCATTACAGAGACAACATGAATTTAAAATAAGCTAAAAGTAAGTGTTAGATACATTTAAAACTAACAATGAATTAACACTACCCTTCTCCAGTATTGGAATTTCAACATGTTTTACTTTGTATATTTTCTCAGAACCTTTAAAGGATGTCCATTTTAGCAATGTAATTCAGTTCGGTTCAGTTCAGTCGCTCAGTTG